CACACACACACACCATTCCAAATTTTTTCCCGACTTCATTGATGGAATATATATATAAAAGTGATCAAAAGGCGAATCAGATCAGCAAAAAATTCTAATCAACTGATAAACTTGATCAAATGGTGAAAGTTAAGATCAAACGACGGTGTTAAATCAGCCAATGAATCTGATTCGTTAAGCAATGATTCGATTTCTCATGGAGGTTTCAGTTGATGATTCTGACTCGATGACTAATTGTTTAACTTCAGCCGCCAAGTTGTTTTGTGGGAAAGTTTTGACATAATTTAGATCTGAACTCCCACTTTCACCCCTCCTACTGCCCCCCCCCCCTTCCCCCTTCCACCCCTACACTACCTACCCTTTGTTATCCCTCTTGCCCACCATCCACCCCTAGAGAACCCCTTGCCCACCCCTCCAGCCCACCACCTGCCCACCCCTACTCACCCCTCTTCCATCACCCCCTCCTCCCCCTCCTGTTCCTTTGGTGCTGTCATATCCTTCTGTCTCCTTTCTGAGAGAGAGAGAGAGAGAGAGAGAGAGAGAGAGAGTGTGTGTGTGTGTGTGTGTGTGTGTGTGTGTGTGTGTGTGTAAAGTGCGTCAGTTTTTACAGGTAACTCTTAATCAAGATAATATGTATACCAATAAAATTATATGCTTCTACCTTGACCATATCCAACCCTAACCTAACCTAACCTAATCTAACCTAACCTAACCTAACCTAAATTTTGCGTAATCCGGAGAAAATTACAGGTTATTTTTTGTTGTTAGTTAAATGATGTTACTGACAGGTGTAGTAACCTCGTTAAGGCAGGTCATTGGTCACGCTGCTCCGGTGTTTAAAATATTGTGCTTTGAGAGTCACCCAGGCTGGAATGTCCTTAATTAAAATATTTTAATTAAATTCATGTTTGTGGACGTTTTTTTAATTGGTGTTTGGTTTTTTTTTTGTGTGTGTGTGTGTGTGTGTGTGTTCCAGCAATTTTTTTCTTCTTCATAATTCACGTCGAATGAAACACGATCTTTGAGGGGAAAATTACAACATAAAAACTTAAATTACCAAAACAAATAAAAATCGACTAATGACTTTGAGTAAACTAGCTCAAATAACTAGTCTTTTAATTGGTCATTTGAGGTTATCATTTATATATACATTATTTTTTTTTTCAAGCTGGGTGCGAGTTTCACATTTTGACAACCAGCTAAAGCGGAAAATGAGATTGGATTAAAGCTTTTGTCTCGAATTAAAACTTTCTATGATTTTTTTTCCTCTGGTAATTTATTGTATATTTGCGTTGGATGTTTTAGATTGGAATAAAATAAATGGTCCTTCTTTCAGTATGTCCAACGTCAGGCTGTACACTAGGGGGGTATCTCCTTCGGTTTTATGTCATTTTAGTACTTTTTTTTCAGATCACCGGGAGATTTTATGCATTCCAGTCTATTTCAACTAAAGATTAACCACTCTAAGGCTAAGCTACCATACCCTACCCTACCCCCCTCAGGTAACGTTAAAATGATTAACCTTCAGGTAATTTCATTATTCTTATTAAACTGAAATCTCGAGTGTCTTCCCCGCGTCTCGGTAAGTGTGTAGGAATATTTCAAGTGTATTTCTCTCCTCGTACAATTGTGGTAATCTTTTCTCTTGTCAATTTGGGTTCCTTGCAAGCATTTGTCTTGTCATGTCAAGTTCTTTCAAGCATTTGTTCTTTACTGTTATGTAGAGAGAGTGTTGTTATTACTACGATTCATCCCCCCCCCCTCTCTCTCTCTCTCTCTCAAGCTTAAAATCATCACCATTTTATTTTTCGTGACGATTTCTCTTACTCTTAACATCAGTTCCTTACGCTTCCACATATTCCTGCTTTTATTAGTCATTTTCTTTCTTCTTGAACCAGTCGTCAGTATTATGAGAGACAGCCACAACGTCTGAGTAAATGTTATGCTTATTTTCTTTTTTCTATATTTTTGTTTTGTTTTAATGGATGACTGAAGAACTGACAGTGTATTTAAGTTCAGTTTGGTGCTATTTCACGGCTTCAGCTGTCAGTGTCAGCTCTTGGTGTCAGTGCATAGTGTTAGATTTCGATGTCATCTCACAGTGTTAGCTCTCGGTGTCAGCTCAGTGTTAGCTTTCGTTGTCAGCTTAAACCCTTTATTATTGTGATTTTACCCATTGAGTAATATGGCCTAAACCCTTGAGTACACTGATCTTACCCCTTAAGTACCATAACTTAAAACCCATGAGTAACCCACAATCACTATTTTAACCTAACTTAAAAAAATAATAAAAAATAAAAGGTTTAACACTACACACCCACAAAAAACAACCATTAAATTAGCATACCATTGGCCTGAAAAACCAGTTGATTAAGTAACAACCATCTCATTTACATATCACTGTTTACACCAACAATATGCGGTCGGGAATGGGAATGGGAACGAATATATATTAAGTAAATTTACATAAAACTGTATTTTTATTGTTTACGTGAGTCAGGTGTCATGAGGTGTAGGTGTAGTGTGTGGATAATGACGGTGTTGTTTGGCCTGTGTTGTAATGGTGTTTGGAGTGTAGGGAGGGAGAGAGGGGGGGGGAGGAAGAGGTAGAGAGAGGGGAAGAGGTAGAGAGAGGGGGAGAGAAAGACAAAACGAGAGAGAAAGGGAGGAGGTAGAGAGAGCGAGAGAGGGAGTAGAAGTAGAGAAAGCGAACGACCATAAGAATTAGAGAGAGAGAGAGAGAGAGAGTAACATACAGATACAGAAAGAGAAATGCATTAAAAGAAAGAGAAAGAGAACAAATAGAGACATAAATAAAGATAGATAAATAAAATATATACAAAACACATCCCCCTCCTTCCTTCCTCCTCGCCTCACCTCCTTAGAGAGAAACTTTTAAGGACTTCGATGAGACTTTTAAATGATGGTCCTCCTCCTCCCCTTGCCTTCCTCCTCCTCTTGTCTTCCTCCTCCTCCTCTTGTCTTCCTCCTCCTCCTCCTCCTCCTCCCCTGGCACCAGTATCTCTCCCTTTAACAGAACAGTAAACTATACTTTATATTTTAGTGAAGGTGATTATACTTCTCTCCTCCTAATGTATTCTGATGGTTAGGTTAGGTCAGGTCAGGTCAGGTAAGGTCAAGTCAGGTCAGGTTAGGTTAGGTTAGGTTAAATGTATGAAAATTGTTAACAAGACTTTAAAATGTAATCTCATTAACTTGTCACGCGATATGCACTAACCTGTCTGTGCTATAATGACTTAGGTGGTAATGATGATAATGATAGTTTAGTAATTAATTGATAGTAATGATAAGAGGAATAATTATAGGAATTTGTGTCATTTCTCGTTCGTTCCTTCTCGGTGAGTGTGTCATATGTGAGGTAAGTGTGTCATATGTGAGGTAAGTGTGTCATATGTGAGGTAAGTGTGTCATATGTGAGGTAAGTGTGTCATATTATACCGTGTCATCTTCAGCCAAGTCTTCAGGCCTTCCAACTTCTCCCATAAGTTAAATGGAAATTAGATTTTAATGTGTGTGTGTGTCTGTGTGTGTGTGTGTGGGTGTGTGTGTGTGTGTGGGTGTGTGTGTTAGATACTTGTATCATATTCCTGGGTGATCAAAACGTCCCTATGCACTTGTAATAATTATCACTACAGTCATTCCGTGTTATGTCTACCTCATTCTACTGACAGGTGCACAGGGACTTTTCGATCACCTTGCATATAATTAGACTTGCTGTTAAAGAAGTCAAGTTTATGTGGAATGACTCTAGTTTATTTTTAATGGAATTTGATTTATTTTAACTCTAAACGGCCTTAATCTGTAAATAATTGAATATAGAAGGAAATCAGGTTTATTCTAAAGCGGGTCATACTTGCCTAAAACGAAATAGAATTACTTAAAATGAAAATTACTTACCTAAAACGAGGCTATATTGCTTAAAAGGAATCTTACTTACCTAAAACGAATCAGAATACGTGTGTATATATAAAACGAAACGAGACTTACTTAAAAACGAATCACAGTATCATTAAGCGAATCAGAACTGCTTAGGAAACGACATTTAAAAGATAAAATAAATTACGTCACCTCCATTGCCAGGAGACTCGAAAATACTTGACGTCTGGTGTTTCCTCCACTCTGCCGTCAAGTAGTCAAGATGCCGGGGGAAAAGTCCATGGGGCCATTGGACTGAAGCATCAAGTTGTACCTTCGGAGTTACGGATGCATTTTAAAGTTTTGTAAAGTTGGTTGGATGTTTTCAAATGGCAGTCGATTCTAACAGTGTGTTTTTATGTGGGATTAAGTTGGGTTTTATTCACACACACACACACACACACACACACACACACACACACACACACACACACACATTATTTAAACACGCAAATGGATGCTGGAGGACATCACCACTAACGAGATAAATTCAATAAATATTTATTTTTGATCTCAAGCTTTCGACTCCTAATCACCCCTCCCTCCTACCCTTCCCTCTCTCCCTCCTACCCTTCACTCTCTCCTCCCTCTTACCTTCCCTCCTTCTCTCTACCCCCCTCCCTCCCTCCCTTCTCTTCCATCGCCACTCATCCATTATAATTCCTCTAATTTAGTCCAATAGTAATACTTGGAAGGCTCCATCGACCTTATCTCTCCCCCTTTGTGTCTTCATCTCAGCTCAAGTCAACCAGAGTTATCTTTAATTACCCCATCACGACCTTCTAATGATATGTAATTAAACTCTGTGATGATCGGTGTGATTAATTGTGTTTTTATGATGATTTATGTATATGTGTAAGCATTTGTGTATTTTTATGTATTGTAGGTATACATATGATCGTGCCATTGTGCTGAAATTTTAATATAACTTCATGTTCCTAATGTATAGTTTAGGTTAGGTTAGGTTAGGGTATGATAAGTTAGTGTCATGTTAGGTTAGGTTATGATATGTGTGTTACAGTACCACAACTAACCACTACCTCATCTTCCTCCTCCTCCAGCGGGCATGACTTCCGTCGGTTAGGTCGAGTGGGCGGGTCGCGACTGCATCAACCCAGGATGAGCCTCCTAGGCAAACCCCTCAACTACAAGACCTCTCGCAGGGACGTCAGGTACAGACGGACGCAAGCCAGGGTCTACAACTTCCTCGAGAGGCCCAGGGGCGTCCGTGCTGTCATCTACCACCTGGCTGTGTGAGTACCACCATCCAGTATTGTACGTTAGGTTAGGTCAGATTAGGTTAGGATAGGTAAGGTTGGGTTAGGTTCAAATTATGTTTTTTCCGGTGGTTATGTTGTTATGTTATGTTCGGTTAGGTTAGGTTTTTCAATGATATTTTATGTATTTTGATGACCGAAACGATAATTTTACAGTTTCGTATACAGTTACTACCAGCTACCCGTGTGAGAATTGTGCCCGTGTTGTTTTCTTTCACACGAGCTTCATCCCGTATCCTGTATCTGTGTAAGTATCTTTAAATAATACTAAATACATTTATAATATCACCAGCTGGCCGTGTGATTATTACATCAATGTTTTGTTCATTTCACTCCAGATTCTTCCCGTGTCTTCAACGCCGTATTCATCCCGTGTATATTTCTATCATGTCTTTATTTGTTACTTTGGGGAAACTTTTATACAGACTTTTATCTTTTTCTTAACTAATTATTGACCTTTTCTAGACTTTTATATCTCCATTATTACGAAGAACTATTTTTATACATAATTTCTTAATACAGTAATAGTTTTTTTTTTAATTACTGACCCGACAAAATACATTTAGTTTCTTGGTTAACGTAATTATGGAAGAAGAAACAAAGGGGTGCACTGGTAACGAGCACTTGTTAATGACGTGTTCTCAGCATTTATTGATAATTACCTGCTAATGAGGAAGTTATTTTTCTCGCGGGAGGAGTCATTAAGGGGTTAAAAAGGTGTGTGTGTGTGTGTGTGTACATTACGTATTCAGGTGAGCATTTAATTTATCTGATTTAATTTTCAAACTTTTTTTTGTTCGACTTTGAAAGCGTAAAAAAAAATCGACGTAGTTTTATGTTTATTTATTTTTGGCTCAGTTATGACGTCATTGACCATGTTATCTGATACTTGATGACGTCATTGACCAGGTTACCTGATACTAGATGACGTCATTGACCAGGTTACCTGATACTAGATGACGTCATTGACCAGGTTATGTGATACTGATGACGTCATTGTTCTAGGGCCCGCTTTAGATCAGGTGTTGGGTATGTATTAATATGTACTGTATATGTATAAATGAGAATCACATGTTGATGAATAAAAAATGATGGAAGTTGAAAAATTATCAAAATTGAAAGCAGAAAGGAGAGGAAGAGAGAGATAGAGAGAGAGAAAAAAAACAAGAGGAAGAGAGACGAAAAGAGAGGGAGAAACGTATTGAGGGAGAAAAAAGTAGAAGAGGAGAACGAGAAAAAGAAAGAGAGAGAGTGAGAGATGAGAGAGGGAGGAAGTGGAATAGTGAGGGAATACGGAGGAAGATAAGAAAAGGGAAAGAGGAAACTAATGAGATGAGGTGGAGTAGGAAGGGAGACGAAACAAGAGAAGGAGGAGGATAGAAAAGAGGAAGGAAAGGAAAGAAGGTAAATGAGGGAGGAGGAGGGAGATGAAAAAGAAATGAGGAAGGCGGAGACAAAAGAGGGAGATGAAGGAGAGAGAAGAGGAAGGAAAAAAGAGAAACTGTAGGAGGTAGAGGGGGGAGAGGGAGAGATGAAGAAGAAAGGAGGATGGAGGAGAGAAAGAGGGGGGGAGATAAATGAAGGAGAGAAGAGGAAAAGGATGAAGGAGAGAGGAGAAGAAGAAGAGGAAGGAAAGGAGAGAGGAGGAGAGAGGAAGAGGAGAAGTAAGACCGCAAGATTAATGTGTGTTAAATCACTCATTCTCTGTGTTTACAATCTGGGAAATTTTATCGCCTGCTGTAATTGCCTTGTGGAGAGGACTTGAAAAACCTTCCTTTACGTTGTAGTTAGCTCTTGTAATTGTGTCTGTCTGTCTGTCTGTCTGTCTGTCTGTCTGTCTGTCTCTCCATTTTTGTTTTTATGGTGATAATAATTGGGATGGTGTAAGAATGGTTGTGGTAGTAATGTTGTTGGTTGTTTTGGTGGTGGTGATAGTGGTAGTGGTAGTGGTGGTTGTTTGGGTAGAGATGGTGGTGGTGGTGGTGGTGGTAGTAGTGGTAGTGGTGGTGGTGGTTGCTTGGGTAGAGATGGTGGTGGTGGTGGTGGTGGTTGTTTGGGTAAAGATGGTGGTGGTGGTAGTAGTAGTGGTTGTGGGAGTGGGGTGGTAGATGGTGATTGGTGGTGGTAGTAGTGGTAGTGGTGGTGGTGGTTGCTTGGGTAGAGATGGTGGTGGTGGTGGTGGTGGTTGTTTGGGTAAAGATGGTGGTGGTGGTAGTAGTAGTGGTTGTGGGAGTGGGGTTAGTGGTGATTGTAATAGTGATGGTGGTGATGATGATGATGGTGGTGAAATGGTGGTAGTGGTTGGGATGGTGAATGGGGCAGACATTACTGGTGGTAGTAGTAGTAGTAGTAGTAGTAGTAGTATAAGGATGTTTCCGGCCGTTCATGTTTATATCTCTCTGTTGTATCACGTTACTCACCATGATAGGAAGAAGTTAGCCTTTTATTATACACTTAAGTAACTCAAACCTCAAGTGACTCAAACCTCAAGTGACTCAAACCTCAAGTGACTCAGACCTCAAGTGACTCAAACCTCAAGTAACTCAAACCTCAAGTAACTCAAACCTCAAGTGACTCAAACCTCAAGTGACTCAAACCTCAAGTGACTCAAACCTCAAGTGACTCAAACCTCAAGTGACTCAAACCTCAAGTGACTCAAACCTCAAGTGACTCAACCTCAAGTGAGTCAAACCTCACTCAACCTCCAAACAACCCCATCAGGTCCTGAGTCTCACCCCCCCACCCCCCCCCCCACCCCCCACCTCACCCCCCACCCCCCTCGAGGACTACACACGATAAAGTATTTTTCTTAAACTTTCTCCGTTTTTTCCTCTCAACTCTTAGATTTAATTTCCGTCTGGGTTGACTCGTCAGATACATAACAGGATTCGGTTTCAAAAAGTTCTAGTTCATTTTTGTTTCCTATTATTTTTAATCCTATAACTGGCGCTAAGTGAATGTATCGGGGTGGGGTTAGGTTAGGTTAGGTTAGGTTAGGTTAGGTTAGGTTAGGTGTGATACGAGACTAACATTATTAAACATTTATCCTTACATCACAGGTGTCCTTATATACACCTCATGTGGGTCACCTGTCCGTAATCCGTAGCTGGGGAGGTCCGGTCCGTTATAAAGAGGTGTAGTTGGCCGGGTATTGTCCGTACAGACCAGAGCGGCCACCTTCATTTCCGGGCAGTGTCAGGTAAGCGGGGTTATAATACCTGGTCTCTTACCCCTTGTGTGTGTGTGTGTGTGTGTGTGTGTGTGTGTGTGTGTTACTCGCTGTTGTGCTTGAGTCAGCTCTCTTTATTGTGAATGAATTAGTATGTTTTATGTCAAAGTGGGCCGTGGTGAAGGAGGGGAGGAAGGTAGGAGGGAGGGGCACTGAGGAAAATAAACACATAGCTACTCATATCTCTCTCTCTCTCTCTCTCTCTCTCTTTTCCCCTCCTGCGTGGCGGTCAAGGAAGATGGAGGAGTGAAGTAGAGTGGAGGGTGAAGGATGCACTATTTCCTTCACTCACTTACCCTCTCTCTAGTGCATTCGAGGAAGAGGATTATACCATCTCCTTCCCTCAAGTGGATCTTGAACCAGAGAGGAAAAGGAAGGGGGGGAGGGAGGAGGGGAGAAGCTAAAGAAGGAGGAGGAGGGGGTGAAGAAGAGGGAGAAGGAGAATGAGGAAGAAGAAGAATAGGAAGAAAGAAAGAATAGCAGGAGGAAGTCGCCTACAGCCATTATACGTGTGTGCGTGTGTGTGTGTGTGTGTGTGTGTGTGTGTGTGTGTGTATGTGTGTGTGCGTGTGTGTGATGGACAACACTGACCTCTACGTGTATACAGTAGTCCCGAGGCTTTGAGTTAAAGTAGACACATCAAGTAGAAACCATGCAGGTAGACAGGTAGACAGGTAGACTAGGTAGACAGGTAGACAGGTAGACAGGTAGACAGAGCCAGAACATCCACTCCTTTATCAAACATATCTCAACAAAACATCCTCATTCGGAAACACTGCTGACGAAGAAGTGATAATTCCCTACTTAAAAAAAAAAAACTCCCTCATGCGGTAAAACGACTCCTCTCCGTCACGTCAGGAGAGGCGGGTATTGAGTTACCCGACCTGCTCCAACGTAAACAGACTGAGGTTGGTATAGTGGTTGTCATGGTGATAGAAGCTTCGTCACAACATTGAGATGACAGAGAGGGACATGGTGGAGTGAGAGGGGCTTGGCTGAGTGGGGAGTGAGAGAGACATGACTGAGTGGCTTGTGAGAGGGACATGACTGAGTGGGGAGTGAGAGGGACATGACTGAGTGGGATGAGGGAAGTAACAAGATACATGTTGTTGTAATGACTTGGCAGGGTGTTGGAAGGATGTTTAGAGGAAGAGGAGGATGTTGGAAGGATGTTTAGGGGAAGAGGGGGATGTTGGAAGGATGTTTAGGGGAAGAGGGGGATGTTGGAAGGATGTTTAGGGGAAGAGGAGGATGTTGGAAGGATGTTTAGAGGAAGAGGGGGATGTTGGAAGGATGTTTTACAAGGGAAGATGAGGATGTTGGAGGATGTTTGCAGAAGGGATGTTGGAGGATGTTTAGGGAAGAGGAGGGATGTTGGAGATGTTTGAGAGGAAGGGAGGATGTTGGAAGGATGTTTAGGGGAAGAGGGGGATGTTGGAAGGATGTTTAGGGGAAGAGGGGGATGTTGGAAGGATGTTTAGGGGAAGAGGAGGATGTTGGAAGGATGTTTAGAGGAAGAGGGGGATGTTGGAAGGATGTTTAGAGGAAGAGGAGCATAGAAGGAGCCAAGGATAATGATGAAGATAGGATGAGGATAGGATTCTGTAGGCCGTCCCGTCTGTCTCCTTTACATGCCGCTGGTCAGGTGGGCAGAGGCATGAGGCTTTTGAAGGTGAGGACGGAAGTGTGTGTGTCTGTGAGTGCGTGTGTGAGAGTGGTGTCTATCTATCTATCTGCCCAATCGGCC